TACTGATGTCATAAGATATTATTTGTTAACTCTCTCTTCCTCTCTCTTTGAGAATAATTTTCATTTATTTTGGAATCCCAGGTCATTTATTTTCAATTCTAGCACCTCAATACCAAGTTATGTGACCAGAACCAGAACATAGCAACTGGAAAAGAGACTCACATGCTTTCTCCTTGCTGTAGCATCCAAGGAGGCACTGATCCATTCAGCAAGTTCCCACTCAAATATCTAAACAATAAAATATCAGATTAGTAGTACAATTAATGAGCTTTTGACAATAAGGATTTCACTTCGTCATGTATATGCTAGCAGACAAGCCTGGTTATGACCACATTCAAACATTTTACTCAATATCAAAACCTATCACGTACATATTATTGTGAACAGCATTGTTTTTTTTTTTTTTTGGATAAGAAACTGCACTTTTCATTAAGATAAATGAAAAAGCTTGTGTAAGTTATAGAAGTATTTGCCCCATGCTAGGGAACTTGAGTGCCATACAATTTTAATGCACTGTATGTAAATAGCATTTACAACGTGTTGTTTGATCAGGAATGAATTCCTGCATCAGCCTTCAGTGCTCTTGAATTTCACACAAAACTTTTTCCCATCCTTTGTTCTGTAAGTATCAGGACTACTATTACCGGCTCACATTCAGGCAGTTTACATGAGACCAAGTTCAAATCCAGGCCATTATTCATAGTTATACAGTAAATTAGAAGGTTGTGTCGTTCATATACTTGTCAAGTTGATTTTCAAAACAACTCTTTCAAGAAAAATGAATTCAGCCGTTGATTGTGATTGACTTATCTCCCCAAGTGATGTAAAGCAACTACCTGCAGTTTACGTATAGAATTTCCTATTCTAATTATGTTACTTACATGCTATCCACTTTTTTTAAACCTTCAAAGTTGGCAGGTATTTGGCCGGTTATTTTGTTGAAGCTGAAGTCTCTGCAGAAGAAATTGAACAAAAAAATAACAAAATAGTATTGTCAAGGAATAATAAAGAATGACTAAATAAATAAAGTAGTTAAGGAATAGTAAAACATCAAAATTTAAAATTTTCAATAACTGATCCAATGAAGTTACTTTTACTATTTTAACATAAAGGTTCTTTATTTTCTCTTTTGATGAAAGTAAGAGATAGAGATGTACACAGTTGCCTCAACAAGCCTTTTGTACAATGGTGGTAGTGTAAAATGTTATGGTAACGCAAAATTTCAAGAAATTTAAACTATCTTCTGAAAATTCATAAGATTGCGAGTAATCATGATAAAGCATCAAGACAAAGTAGAAAGTAAGCTTGTACTGACAAGGTTTTCAAAGCTGAAATCCCCTCAAGATTGTTCGGCAGCACCCCAGTTATATTGCAATTCCTCAATATCCTATAGACAACCAGGCACTATATTAATAACTGGGATTAAGTACAGTGGGTGTCTTAAAGTTTTCACAGAGGGATTAACTTACAGGACTTTCAAATTTTTCAAAGCATTTAGGGGTGGAAAGGGTGACGAAGCTCCAGTCAAATCACTGATTCTCCTGCATTTTGCAACTCAAATATGAATAACTAGTAACCAGTATTTTGACTGATAAAACCACGAGAAACATGAAGTAAACTAACACATCAGTTAATTTTGTCAAAAGTTCAATTTCGGAAGGAATTGGCCCACTCAACCCGCTTGCCTGAATAGCTCTGTCACAGTTAAATTAGTTGAGTGAGAGTTTATAAACTGGCAACCAAGTAGAATCGAGAGTAGCTAGATTAGAGAAAATTTCTCACACTTTTCCAAGATTCGTCCAATTCTGAATAAATTTAGGTATTGGCCCTGAGAAGTGATTATCACTGATTCGACTGCAATGTAGCAAAGAAAAAGTTTACTTATTTGTTTATTTATTTTCTCAAAGTTTAAACTAATGAAATAAAGGGTTGAAGAATATTTTAAAAGCTTACAAGTCCGTCAATGAGGTTATCCTTGCCAGTGAAGGTGGTAGCTCCCCAGAAAAGTTGTTTGAGGTAAGAAGTCTAGATTGCAACAAACAATAGTAAAGGAATGATCAGTAGAAAGCTCTCCCGAATGCCAAAATCATAATAACTACAGACAATTTAAACCAATGACTGGATATAAAAGGACGAAATTCAAATTTTGAGCTAAAAAAAAAGGGTAAAATAAGGGTCTTACAATCTTGATAAACTGGTCAAATTTCCAAGTTCTGGAGGTATACTCCCAGATAACTGATTCATTTCCAGGACCCTAAGCAATCAAACCGGTAACATTAGCCTTCTGCTCATTCAAAAACCAAAATGGGACGCAAGCAATTGGGTAATCAGAAGTCAGAACTTACAAATCTGTGAGAGTGCTGATGTTTCCAATCTCCTTTGGGATTGGACCTGTCAACCGATTTCCAAGAAGGGAACTGCAAGAACATGACCCACAAGAATAAGCCATGTAAAATCACATACTGAGCACATTATAGAAAAAATATCGTTAGAAAATACATTTTGACAAGCTTGGTGGAACCCCATTCTGGAGGAATTCGGCCACTGAGATAGTTGCGGGTCAGATCACTGAACCAACAGAGCGAAAAAACGAGATTATGCGCAATTTCTTCGTTAATCAGGCAGACGAGAAACGATCTGATCTAAATGAATTCAGCAAAAATAAGTACTTACAGTTCTTCCAGGAAAGGCAACCTGACTATTTGTGGTGGCAGTGTACCTGGAAGGCTCTGCGCCTTGAGAAGACTGCAGCAAATGCCAGAACGTAAATATTTTTGGAATTCAATGTGGGAAAATAAATGAACCTTTTTTGGATTTTCATTTGGGAAAATTTCAAGTTTTTTCCCCCTTATGGACAAAATAAAATATCTAAAAATGCACAAATTTTAATAAACAGTGTAATTGTGTTTTCTCACATAAAAAAATAATGACATTTACACAAATTAAAAAGAAAGGAGATTGCTTTCTGATACCCATTTCAAAATATTTTATAATTTGATTTCTTAATCTTACTCAAGAGTTACTCAAGAGTATATTAGACATTATCACTTTTTTTTAATGCACGTGACGTTACATAGACTTGTATTTAAAGTTATATATCTAGTTGAATTAAAAAAAAAAGTTATGTATTTAGTTAGTTATTAAATTAAAAAGATAGTTGACTTTACATTTTAATGAAATTAAGCGTAAAAAATTTAAAGATGAAAATTGAAACAAGATTATAAATTAAATTCATATTTTATTTTCTCAAATATTTTATACATAAGAAAACCCTTTTTTTTAAGTTTAAAGAATGGGTTTGGGTGCTATTCAAACATCTGTAAAAAAAAATCATTCAAAAACGTGTTTATTGTTTAAATATTTAATAATTACATTTTCTTTTCAAAAAATAATAATTATTATCATATTTGACTAAACTTTGCGGGAAAACAGAGGCCACCACCACGTGGATGCATAGTTAACCGAGGCTAGGGGCATTTCAAAATAAAAAATAAATAAATAAAAATTCTAAACTTATTTTATTATGTAAAGAAAAAACAAAAAAGAGAAAGAAGGAAAAAAGCACCCCTCTGCTAGGGTCAAACAAAAACCACGGTTGAGTTAGACCAAAGACAGAGCCCATCCAGTGTGACCAGGTCTCCCACGTGGCACAGCTGACTAGTCAAACATATTAAATTTTATTTTAATAAATATCTTCTTGTAATAATATTTTATTATACGTTCAGTTGTCCAGATGCCGACGTGGGACCC